AACTCACACAGAAGCCAGAGAATGCAGTTTCTGTGACCCAACATGTGGGACATTAAGAAGAAAAGCCGTCTTAACTCCTGGACGTGTCACCCATTTGTAAGATCTCTCTAAATAGTTATTACTTAGAACAAAATGGAAATCAAAATTTCTTATGCCTCCTATACTATAGCTGTTAGTCACTGCTAAAAGTGCAGGTCCTGCACACTGTGTTAGATAAACACACACATTTCCAGCCTGCATGGTCAGTGGGAGACTTAACCATCTTTAAAGGGGTAGAATTAGAGGTTAGCTCCCTCCCCTCCCCTTCATTTGTCTAACTGGCCTCGAACTTGTGATTCTGTTACCTCAGCCTTCTGAAAGAGCTGGGATTACTGATGTGTGCCAAGGTACCCAGCTAGTTTATAGTATTTCTTTTTACTAGATCAGACAAGAAACAAGCTATTCTTACTGTGATGAGACAGGCCTTTGTTCTTTAATGGAAATGTTTATAATTACATCTGATTTAAGGTATTTTTAAGGCCATACATAAAATTAATAAATGCAAAACAGGAAATTGGAAATGAGAAAAACTACACACAAATATATATAATCTCACACACACTCCCCCTTCAGTTTTTGAGACAGGATCTTACTATATAATTTGGGTTGGCCTTGAACTCACAATGTAGCCCACACTGGCCTTGAATTTGCAGTGCTTCTGTTGCCTCAGCCTCCCAAGTGCTGGGATTAAAGGCTTGCACCTCTATGTCGGGATAAGCTTCTTGGCAACCAAGGCAAGAAAAGAGTGGGGGATGCTTTTCTGTCCACAGTAAATTACGTTGTTCTTTTCAGAAATGGACAGGGCAAAATCAGATGGTTACAAATAGAATAAGTTTTCATAAAGCTACTTCTCATAGTGAGTATTAATAAGTTCACAAAACATTAAAGCTAAGGAAGATAAAAACTGTGGTTTGAAGATATAAATACAGTAAACATGCAAATATAGGTGTGTATGTGCATGCATGTGCACGTATAGTTTCTTAGCAGTTTAACTTGGTTTAAGAGTCAAACCTAGAATTGAGAGCTGTCCTTCGAAATGTTTAATTTTCTGGAAGATAGCATTTCTTGAGGGTTTTTTTTTTTTTTTTTTTTTTTTTTTTTTGGTAGATAGGGGTAATATCTACTAACTCAGCTTTCTGCATACACACTTGGGCCCCATCTTATTTTCATCATGGTGTCCCAGATTAAGACATTTCTTTTCACAAAGCCTGGGATGGAGTTCCTGCCTGGGGGGTGTGGGCTGGGGCGGGAGTGGAGGGCCTCAGGCCTGGGCAGATCCACATCTACATTTGCTGTTGCAAAGGCACATCTCTCTGAGCTCTTCTCCCTCCCTTCCTCCCTCCCTTGCTCTCTGCAGTCACTTTGGCTTTATTGTTCCTCTCTTAGCTCTTGGGACCTTTTGAACTCTTTCTGGAAACACTGTTGTGCCATCTGTTTACATGGTTCGCTTCCTTCACTTTCACGGTGAGATCTTCCCTCACTCCCCTGTTTAAACTTACACTTTGCTTCATAACCAACATCAGCCTCTGGTTTTTTGTCTTTCAGTGTAACAGGCTGAATTAATTCACATTACATTTCTTCTATAAAAACACTGTAGTAACCATAGTTCTGGAGCCTAGGCCATCTGGTGGAGACTCACTGTAGGTGTTTGCAGGATAGTTGGTGAATTCCTGGTTAGGGAAACTTGGATATCTCCATCTCTTTGCCAGAGGTGGGGAAGAAGGACAGCTTTCAAACAGCTGTAGATTTTGTAGATAGTACCAGTAGGTAATTATGGCAGAGTTGTTCAGGGTGACTATTGCTATAGCCAAAATATAGTAGCGATGTTTTGGCTCCATGAATTCCTTGGTTCGGGCTGCAACGCTATCCCAGTTACTGCTGCTGAAGCCTCCAAGACAGAAGTCACTCTGTCCCCATGGGCCCTTCTGCATCCCTGACAGTATCGTGTTTTTTTTCCTCAAAGATGGCTGTTTCTTTTCTTGCCTTCTTGTTACATTGTAGTAACTAATCACTCTCTGATATTCTTATTTTATTTGTACTACCACAATTAAAAGGTAAACTCCATGAAGGCAACAGTTTGTTGTTACTGTTAGCTGTTTAGAATAGTGTTAACTGTATGGTACACTGTTTGCTCAATGAACGGGTTGTGGAATAAGCTTTTTTTTTTTTAAAGGGCAGACCCATATACTTTGAGATGAAATGAGCATATCAAGGCTGACATTCTTTTAAGAAAATTGAAAGAACTTTAAGTTCAACTATTTCTTCTCTTAGCTAAATTTAAAATATAATGTTATTTTATCTTTATTATAGAAATAGGCTGCAAGCAAAACCAGGGCTTTTTAACGTAAGAGAGCTCTTAGTATAGTAGAACATCTGCAAAGATGATTTTGAGTTAGAACATTGTTAAAATGTCTTGAAAACATGGAATTAAGATTTGAGCATTTTTGCATATCTTTATGGAAAGTAAATTTCATAATTGTTTATAAATTAGAAAACCAAAGCAAATGTCCAAGGAGATGAAGTACCTTCAAAGCCACCCAGCTGAAAGAACTGGGGATAAACTTGAATCTGACTGATCCACCTTCTCTGTGTGTCCTTGTATAATACTTAGCACATAGAATGCAATGAATTTTGAATTGATGGGTAATTGATGCATAACAGATGATATATGAACAAATTACACTTAAAATGTGAAAAATGAGTAACATCCAGTCATGTATATAGGTGGTGGGAATCGGTTGTACAGGAGACTGTCACGTGGGGCCGAGGGTACAGCTCACTGGTATAGAGCGTATGGTACGTGGGAAGACCTGGATTCAGTTTCTCTCCCTCACACACACACACATACTCACATTCACTCATTCTCAGTCTCTGTCTCTTTGAAAAAAAGTAGGAGGACAAGTTTGTGTGTTGGGGTACGTGGAAGAAACGTGGCTCCAAGTGGTTAGGGAAAAGAGGAGTCAGAATTACAGGGGGCTGGCAAAAGCATAAATCCTATCAGGCCTTTTAAGCCTCAACATAAAGGTAAAGATAAGGATTTTAGGGTTGACTCTGGTTATAACAAGTTGCCAATAGAAGTTTTTTGTGCTTATGGGTTATTTTGGTTGCATTTGATTTTTAGGGAGTGTTTTGGGACAAGATTTCACTGTGTAGTTCAAGCTGGATTTGAATTCATGGTGATCCTCTTGCGTCCAAACTTCCAAGTGCTGTGTTCATTTTTAAGCCTGCCATCATTTTACTGTGTTTTATATTAGATTTGTTAACACATAATTCACATGCCATACAATGTACCTATTTAAAATACACAGTGGTTTTAAGATATTCACAATATTATACAACCACCATCATAACTTTTAGAACATTTTAATCACCTTTAAAAAGAAGTCCCATATTTCATTCTTGTTTTGAAATCCTGTGGCTCTTTTCTTTTCTTCTTCTTTTTTTGGTCACTTGGTTTTTGTTATTGTTCTTTATTTGTTTGATTGCTTTTTGATTTTTCTGTGTTTTTTTTTTTTTTTCTCTTAAAAAAAATCCCATGTCTTTCACACCTTTCCTCCCAATTCTTATGTCTAGGTAACTACTAACATGTTTTTGTCTTTATAGACTTTCTTATTCTGAGCATTTGTTTTATATGAAAGTATATAGCATGCTTGTTGGTGATGAGCTGCTTTCGCTTAGTGTAATGTTATCAAGGTTCACCTTTGCCTGTCTGCCTGCTTACTGTACTGGGAATCAGAACCAAGATCTCATGTGTGCTCATTCCATTGGATGGATATGCACTTTTTATTTATTAATCAGTTGATGCATTTGTGTTGTTTCCATGTTGGACTATTCTGAGTAATGTTGCTGTAAATATTTATGTTTTGTATGAACTTTCTCTTTTTGAGGGGGAGGACTTTGAGACAGGGTCACCACTAAGTAGTCCAGGCTGGTTTAAATTCAAAATCCTTTTGTCTCACCTTCTCCAGTGCTAAAATTACAGGTGTGTGGTATAGTTACTTTGAAATAAAAGTTTAAAAGTATTAGCTGGGAAGAGGAACAGAGACATAAAGTGTTGGAGGGATGTAGAGAATCGAGATTTTTATTTTTGCTTTTTTAGAAAGAAGACACTAAAGCATGTTAAAAGCTGGTAAAATCATTCATAAGAGGTGATGCAAATGAATTGGTGATGCAAATGAAAACATATTTATTTTAAAAAACGAGAATATAATTACTGGAGCAAAATGTTTGTTGAATCTTTGACTTGATGGGATTAAAAAATAAGAAAAAAACAATTTACATATATTTGTCTTATTTGTAAATGAGGTTAGCTTTGTAACTTTTTGCAAATGAATCTAGCTATAGCTCTTAAATATTCTAAAAATGTAGCCAGGAATGGTGGTACATGCTTGTAGTTGTAACATTTAGAAGGCTGGGCCTTGAGAATTATGAGTTCAAGCTCAGCCTGGGCTACATAGTGATACATTGTCTAAAACAGGAAGAAGAATGTCTCTAAATTATGAAATAAAATGGAATTTCAAAAGCTTAATAGGTCATTTTGAATTGTTTTCCTTCCCAGATTTTCATTCAGTATGAGTAGGTCATTAATTTCTTTCAACTGAAAAATGAAGAACTATAATTACTAATTAAAGAGTTAGGTAAAGCCAGGTGTGTTGGTTCGTACCTGTAATTCCGATACTCTGAGAGACTGAGGCAGTTTGAGCTCAACGTAGGAAACTTAGCCATTTTCCTTTCCCAGACAAAAATGAAAAGGGCTGGGGATGGAATCAGTATTAAGGCTCTTGAGTATAAGCTCTAGTACTGCACACAAACCACACACACACACACACACACGTTAAATAAGTAGTTGTTTTGTTTTCTTTGTGGTAGATAGTGGGTTTTAATCTATTTCACTGTTTTGTCCTGTATTTGAAATCTAATATTATTAAAATGCTTAATGTGTTTATTGGCTATTATTTCAGGGATACGGCAGGCCAAGAGCGATTTCACACCATCACAACCTCCTACTACAGAGGAGCAATGGGTATCATGCTAGTATATGACATCACCAATGGTAAAAGCTTCGAAAACATCAGCAAATGGCTTAGAAACATAGATGAGGTAAGATCTAGAAATTACCTGAATCCTTTTAAATTTTGGAAAGTCTTTCTAAAACCCCATCTTGGGCAATTACCCCAAAACTACAAAACTGTCTTATAAAATGCTTCCAAATAGAAAACTACCAGTGAATTTTTATTGGGTGACTAAATCAATTTTCAGTAGCAATTTTAAAGTCTTCAAGTTATAGAAATGTTATATTGTTTGTAGAGATTTTGAAACATATACTCCATACTAGTATAATTAAAAATCTTACTGATTGTGCCATATTATTGTATTTGAAGATACAATTTTTTAGAAGGTGAGGTGTATTCTAGTATGTCTTTCTGTGCTACACTTTAGGTTAGTGTCTCTGGCAACTTGCAGTGTGATCAGGTCATTCATAGATTGTTTCTTTTTTTTTTTTTTAATTTTATTTAAAGAAAGACTAAACAAAACAGAAAATAGTTAGAAATAATACATGCATTCAGAGAAAAAATAAACAGTAAGAAATCACTGGTTGATGCTTACATATTGTCATTTTACAAATAGTTATTCAAGATACAAAAATGGAACATGTAAAGTGAGAATTCAAATATCGAGACTGCAGACAGTTCTGTTCAACTGTTCAATAAAAACTTAGAAATATGGTTATCAATCCTATACATTTAAACATACATGCAGTTATCCATATCTTCAATTGTGTTGAGAAAGAAAAAAACCCAAGCAGGCTAATATCACTCTGAACAGAGAATAATACTATTGCTGGGTTTCACATTATGACACACCAGAGTCAGCACTGGGTTCTTTAGTGACTCTTTTTCCTCAAAGTATCTGTTCATTTCATCATGTGTCATAAGATCAGCTCTCATAAACTGTTTATAGATTCTACACATGCATGAGTCTTAGCATGTATTTCTGTTCTTTCTATATTAGAGGTAGAAGCGAAACAAAGCAAGACAGAACAAAACATATTCCTATAAACACATGAAACAAAAAAGACATATAAGACCATTGTGTAAGGACTTCTACCATAGTTCCTGTGTTGTCTCTTGTTATCTTCAATAGAACTGGCTATATCATCAGACATAGTATAACTGAATATATCATTATATAACAGTATTAATAAAAACACAACTTTGTATATAGCATAGAACTTCAACAACTGGCAGTTATCGAACCAGAATGTATATCGTAGGGTCTTGTCTTCTTCAGTGTAGTTGCCTATAATCCCAGATTGATACTATCAATCATATTAATTCTTTTTTTATTTTCTAGAATCTGAAAATGATTTTATAAGTTCATATAAATTGCACAGAATAGTGGATTACATTTTGGTGTACTGCAACTTACTTATAATTTACATGGAATTTTTTTTTTCCCCCCGGAGGTATTGTCTTGGCTTCCCAGAGTCCTAAGTTCCAACATGGCGTGGATCTCAGGAGACACTGCTAGTTCTCCCCCTAGAAGGGCTGCAGGCTGCCACCCTGCCTCCACTTACAGGGAGGGGAGATGCTGGCTTGGCTTCCAGGAGTCCTAAGCTCCAGCATGGCGTGGATCTCCTATAGATTGTTTCAAGTGACTGGAATGGTTTATTCAGTTAGTGGCTGATTCTTATCGGGTACAGTGATTTGTGCTTCATTTTTAATAATTTAATTACTGTACATGTGCAGTACATAATGATTGCACTTATCGTGGGTAGTTGGTACATGTAAACAACACATTTTAATTCTGTTTTCATCCCTTATCCCTCGTCTCCTCCACTTACTCGCATCCTCCCATCTCTTGGTCCCCTTTGCTTTTGTGAAAAATTTATCTCCCTGTTTCCTGGATTTGTCTTTATCTTGTTCTTTATATTTTGGGTTTCTCATATAAGAGAGACAGTGAGATATTTAAACTTGTATATTTATTTCACTTAACATGATGATCTCAAGGTATATCCATTTCCCTATAAATGACTCAAATTTATCCTCCTCTATGGCAAAGTATACTCTATTATGTTTAAATACCACACTTCATTCATCTCTTGATGGAAGTAGCAGCAGTTTCCAGGATTTAGCTATTAGGAGTTGTGCTGCTATAGACGTGCATATGTCACTGTAATAATATCTTTAACTATTTGGGAAGATACCTAGAAGGGGGCTAACTGAGTTAAATGGAATTTCTAGTGTTAGTTTTTTGAGAACTCTGCATACTAGAGAATTTCCATAGTGGTTGTACAGTAGTAGTTTTTAGTCCCCCCCCCCCCCCCAGCAATGTAGAAAAGTTACTTTTTTACAACAGTCTCACTGGGGTTTGTTATTTGCTTTCTTGATGATAGTTATTCTTTGTAGAGTAAAGTGGAATCTCAGTGTTTAGTTTGCATGTCTCTATTGGCCAGAAATGTTGAACATTTTTTACTTCTGAGAACTGTGTATTTGTTTCAACAGCCCATTTTTTGATGAGGTCTTTCATTTTGTGTTGTCTGATTTTTCTTGAGTTCTATAGAAACAGATACTAGTCCTTTGTTCAAGGTGTAGCTGGAAAACTTTTTGTCCCTTTGTGTAGGTTGTCTCTTCACTCTGGCGATTGTTTCCATTTCTGCACAGAAGCTTTTTGTTATTTTTCTTCATACTACTTCTTGTGCAGTTGGGGTTCTTCTCAGAAAGTCCTTGAAAGTAAGTTCAGAGTTTTTAACTTTTTATCTTCCAGTAGATTGTTCCTGTTTTAATATTTAGATCTTTGATTCATTTTCATTTTAGTTTTGTACATGGTGAGGGACAGAGGTCTAGCTTCACATATGAGTAGCCACTTTTCCCGCCCCCTTTGCTAAGGGGGCTGTCCCCGTAGTGTTTTTGGCCCCTTTGTCAGAGACCAAATAACTGGACATGCCTGGGTTGGTTTCTGCATCTTCTGTTTCATTACACTTATCCATATGGCTGTTTTTGTGCCAGTATCAGACTGTTTTTGTCACCATAGCTTTGGAATGAAATTTGGGAGTCGTAACATGAAACAGAATTGTGGTGCCTCATGCTTTGTTCTTATTGCCCAGCATTGCCTCTTGTTTCATATGAATTTTAGAATTGTTTTCTCTAGTTCTGTGAGGAATTCGTTGGTATTTTGGTGTTTACGGTTTGTGTCTAGATTGTCCCCTCAAAGCCTCATGCAGTGAGTGAGACTTTCAGAGGTGGCTGGGTCTAGAGTATTTGACACTGGGATTAATTCATGGTGCAGTGCTAAACTCAAGGACACTAGGATTAAAAGTGTGACTCTTACCTGCCCTATGTTATCTGGATAGAATAAAAGGGACAGAAAGAAGCTGTTAGGTTCCTTGTTGCTTTTGCTGTCTTCCGCATGCAGTGAACTGTTTCTTCTCTGTGACACCCTTCTGCCATGTGCCCTCTGCCTTGGAGCCAGCCAATCATGGCCTGAAACCTTTACAAACTGTGAGCTAAATAAACCTTTCATCCTTTAACTTTGGGTGTCAGATATTTGTCTCAGCAATAAGAGAAACGTAACTAATCAATTGGAATTGCATTTTGAACATTACGTCCATTTTGAAAATACTGGTTCTGCCTATTAGGGAACAGGGGGTATATTTGTTTTCTGATGTCCTCTTTGATCTCCTTTTTCAAAATAGTGTGTTTTTTATTTCAGAGGTCCTTTACTTCATTTATTAGGTTAATTCCTAAGAACTGAATTTTTCTTGTTGCTATTATGAATGGCATTATTTCCTCATTTCTTTGTGGGTTTATTATTGGTGTATAGAACACTATTGATTTTTATATATTGGCTTTATATCATGCTACCTTGTTGCATCCATTTATTAGTTCTGGAAGTCTTTTGTGTCATCTGCAGATAAGGATAATTTGACTTCTTCCTTTCCTGTACATGTCTCTTTTCTTTGGCCCATTTGCTCTTTCTGGTAATAATAGACATCGTTGTCTTGTTCTTGATTTTAGAGGAAAAGCTTTGAGCATTTCCTTCATTTAATATGATACAAGCAGTAGGTTTACTGTAAAAGGCTGAGACAAAGTTCTACATCTGTTTTTTCAGGTATTTGATTTTAATCATGAATGGAGGTTGAGTTTTTGTCAAAGCCTTTTCTGTATCTGTTGAGGTGGTTATGTGATTTTTGTGATAGGTTGTATTTATTGACTTAGCGTATTTTCCGGGGTAAAGCCTACTAAGTTATGGTATATAGTCGTTTTGATGATTTGTTGCATTGTTTGCCAGTATTATCTTAACGATTTTTGCATCTGTGTTCATAAAAGAGTGGTTCTCTTTTTTATTTGGGGGTCTTTTCTGGTTTTTAAGTCAGGGTATTGCTAACTTCCAAGAATGAGTTTGGGAATATTTCCTTTTCTTTGAATTTCATTAGAGCTTGAGGAGTATTGGCATTAGAACTTGCCTGAAGCTGTGGTAGAATTCAGCAGTAAAACTGTTGGGTTCAGGGCAATTCTTTGTGGAGTTTTTATTACTACCTCTATTTTGATGCCTGTTACTGGTTTGTTCCTTCTTGGTACAGTTTTGGTGATTCATATGTGTCTGAGAATTTTTCTAGTTTTCTTCTAGATCCTCCAATTTATTGGAATATGTTTCCAAAGTAGCTACTAATGTTCTGGATTTCAGTAGTATCCATTGTGATTTTACCTAATTGCATTAATTTGAGTCTTTCCATTTTTTTGTAAGATTGGATAAGGGTTTGTCTGCTTTATGCCAGTGAAGAACTGATTCTTTGATTCTTTTTTTTTTTTTTTTTTTTGTCTCAGATTTATTATTTTTACTCTAAAATTTATAATTTCCTTACTTGTATCAGCTTTGGATTTAGATTGTTCTTATTTTCCTAAGTAGTTGAGATGCATCATTAGGTTATTATTTGGGCTCACTTTATCTGATGTGGGCATTTACTCTTACAAACATCCCTCTTAGGACTGCTTTCATTGTGTCCATCCAGTAGGGTCTAGCATTACTGAATGTAGGGGCTAATATCTTCTCAGTTTGTTCACTGACCCATTGTTGAAAAGCATAAAGTTTAATTTCCA